CCAGCCGAGTGCCAAGACAGCACAGATGCCAGCTCCCCCCTGACCACCCCGTGCCAAGACCTGCATCCCAGACTCCACCAGCTGGGAACCCGCTGATGAGGCCAGCACCGCCATTACCGTGGAAACCGTGCTCCCCCGCCCCCAACACAGTAACCCCCAGGCTCCAGCAGGCCGGGCACTAAACACCGTGACTGTCACCAAGCTCTGCTTCCCACAGAGCAGCTCCAGGGAGGCACGAATGTGCACGAAATACCCGTTTCTGTACAAATATCTGTGAAATATTATTCTGTTCTTTTAAAATGTTTTAACCAAGCCATTATAACAAGGCCTTCCTATGCACGCACCACAGACTTCAGGTGGCCCTTGAAAAGGTGCTGTGTAATTATGTCACACCCTCTGATTCCAGGTTACAGCTCAGTTCCTCCCCTGCCAGTCGCTCCGTCTGCCTGCCCCCCCCCTCCTTTTCTCCCTGTCTGCCATTCCATCCGTCGGTCCTTCTCACCCCCCCTGTTCCCATCGCCTGCTGTGATTGAGTAAGAGGGTGATGACGGACATCGTTCTCCCCTCCACGTGGCCGACGTTGGCTGCAGCGCCCGTTTGGGGCGTCGGCCCAGTGCAGCCCCCAACCTGGCAAAGCCCCAGGGTGGGTCCCCCCCGTGGGGGCCTCCGTTTGAACGTCCTGATTTTCCCACGTCCGTTTTTAAGCAGGCAGGAGAAGGTGTGGGGAGGGGGGGGGCACAGAGGTGCGCCAAAAAGAACAAGAGAAACTGGGCCGCCGCGATGAGCCGCCAGCGAAGATCAAAGACAGTCACTGGGCCGGCTAGGAGGCGCACAAGCAGCGCACCATGAAGGAGGCTAGCAGCTTAGCCCCCCCAATACAGCACATAGCCCAGACACAGCTACATGCTATAGCAGTTAGCCTTTTTTCACACTCATCTCACCCTTTGACTCCATCCCTGAAGATGCGGGGAAAAAAAAAAAGATTACTCACATAAATTAATATCATTAAATATACATGCATCACATCTTCAAACTTCGAACTTTCCATGTTCACATAACTGTGAAGGTGCGACTTCCAAAAAAACGTCTGTCACAGACAATAAAGGCCCCCTGCAGCATCCAATTGGGTGCCTTGGTCTTTGGAGGTGGGACTCTCCAACTCGCTCCCCATTGGCTAATTCAGCAAATCATCAAATTGGGATTAAATGCATGAAACAAAGGAGGTGGGGGTTTCAAAGGAGGCAGGTTTCATAAATGCCCCCACAAATAAAGGATAAAGTCGAGTGCTAAGGGCACAGATGTCAAACAGGGTCCCCCAGGGTCCCTTGTTTCAGTGGCAGAGCAGGGCAAGAGAGCGGGAACAAAAAAAATGAACCAAAAACAAGGAAGCAGGATCGAGGTCTGTGCCTGAGCGGAGGATAGCAGATTCCCAGTGAACGATACCGTGTTTTATGTGGCGAATCAGATGTGATGTATTCCATTACAGGGCCCCGGAGAGACCCCCCCCAGCCCGAGAGCAAACAGGACTCAAAGACCTCCTCGGCGTGAACTTGTGGGAGCTGCAGAGCGGCGCGGCGCCCCCTGGGGACTCGGGCGGTGAGGCGCGCTGCCTTCCCCGCGCTAAACCCTTTTAACACCTAATGCATGCCAATTGCATTTTCTTTACCCACTTTAATCCTTATCTCCTAAAAGGCGGAATTATTTTACACGTTTAAAAGAAAAAAAAAGGAGAGAGGAAGGGAACACCATTTAGTCAAAGGGGGTTTTTTTGTAAACGGCGTTCCGTCAGGGGAGGAAGGGAAATCTAATCTGGAACTTCCAAGCCGCGGCCCGCCAGGAGATGCGGGAAGCGATTGAGCAGGTAAAGGGGGAGCGAGGGAGGGATCCTCGTCTCGCCAACCTAGCCCCCCCCCGACCCACCCCACGTGCCTCGCAGCTCAGCGGAGATGTCTCCAGAGCAGGCGGATGAGTTAGGGAAAAGGCTCTGCCTGTTCGTTCCGGCTGCTCAGGAGACACTCAGGCAGCCCCCCCGCCCCCCAAATAGGAGACACTACGTGAAAGGGGCCCCACCTTCAAACCAACAGGTTGCAGGTTACTGAGGCTGCCTTGGTCACTGTACTCCCTCTCTATCTCCGCAAGCGTGCACACACTCCGGCGTACCAAAACCCCTCCCAAACCATAGACCTCTGTTTTAACGTGGTCTGGTGTGGCCCTCCACTCAGGGGCAGGCCATAGGGGCATAGGCCCCAGCTGAAAGCTGATGGGCCCCCAGACTGCCACCTGCCCTGTCACTCGTCGATTCAAAACACATCATTGCCTAATAAGGCTGGCTGCTCTGTATGAATTATGGCCCCTCTTATGCCCCTCAGGGCTAGAGTGACACCCAACACAGAGAACAAAGTGCCGTCATAAGGGTTAAAAGGTCAAGTGGAACGGGGGTGTCGACCTGTGGGCTGCGTCCGATTGGCTACATCCAGGGCGGCAAAGCAGACTGTCAGGATGGAGCCCAGGGTTTCGGGACGAGCTACTGCCTGCTGGATATCGTGGTCTGAAGGACAACCGCAGATGAGCGAATCTAAGGGGGGAGGAGCCCCCAGGGAACCGACAGCGAGCGACAGAGGTGAGCAAAGCGGCCACGTGACGGCATGTAAGGTACCGGGATCGATTGGGGCGATACGCTTGGGGGAGAGCCACCCTGTCTTAACTAATATACCCGAACGTTAACTTTAAAGATTCAACGCGGAAGGAAAAACCTTTACCACCCCGAAGAAACATGGGGAACCCGACAGGAGCTTCACTGCGGCTCACGGGCACTGCCAGTGACCCACCTGTAGACGTCGGCAGGAGTCCGGATCCTGGCCCGCTCGGGCAGCGAGTGGCCGTTACTTCCGCCGCTGTTCCTCCTCTTGCGCTTGGCTTCCTCTTTGCGCTCGCTGTACTTCAGTGTGGTGTTCTTCCCAGTGTTTATCCTCACCTGGGGAGAAGGGGAGAGAGAGAGACCCAAATGAAAAAGGGGAGAGAGAGGGAGAGCCCCAGGGACAGGAGTGAGCAAGTGTGCGTGTCTGCATGAGTCAGACCTGAGAGGTGATGGTGGACCCCACTGCTTACCATTTGGAACTGCCCCCCCTGCCAAAAACAACATCAACGAGACTTTCTGCAGCTCGGAGGCCCCGGAGAGGGACCAAGGGCCACACGCATGCACTAATCAGGATGCACACGGCGTTTATGTTAACGGGGCATGTAAACAGACCGCTACAGCTCTGAACGGTTCCAGATTGGAGCAATGAGAGGGGTCCAGCTCTGGGACTGGTGTCACGTAGGCCGTAAGAGAAGCCCACATCAATCAGAAAGCTGGTCACGCTGGCTAAACACTAGGAGAGGAGGACGGAAATGCTGCAAAGCGCTCCGGACAAATGAAACGGGGGGGGGGAAACCACATAACAAAATACATAAACAGATAAACGTGTGTGGTATCTGAGGGGAGCTCAAGCCCAGCACTGCAAGGTAGAAGCAAGCCACTTAATGGCCCACAATATTTGGCCTAAAGGCACCAGTTAACACAAATTAGGGTTTACCTTTTGAGGGGGGCCATTAAACACAGTGTCAGGTGGGAGGCTGCCACACATCCAAACGGCAAGAGGGACATCATGCAGGGCAGCATCCCAGTCTGACGGCCAGCGCCGTTTCTGAAGACTGAGCTGGTGCCATTGCAGATCGCCGCCGTGACCCCACAACTAATCGCCACGGCGGATGAGATCACCTTCTTGGGCTCCACCGTGTGGGAGAAGTAGATCGTTGGCACGCAGGCGGCTTCCTCCTCGCTGGGGGATGAGGGCGGCCAGGCCTCGCGCAGGTGAAGGCCGTTGGTCAGGCGGCCGCCGCCTGCATCCTTCTCCTCCTCAGAGGAAGACGACGTGGTGTCTTCACCAATCCCATCCGGGCCCTCCAGCGCCCTGGAGAGAGACGGCGGACAGTAGCGTCGGGCGAGACCACAGGTAGCGCCAGCCGGACACCGACGACAGAGACGGGTCCCGATGCTCAAAGGGCGGCGCGGCCAATCAGCACTATTTTTAACAAGCTGCTCGCTCGGGCCAGAATGCATTATTAAGGAGGGCATATATTTTAGTGGATATTTCTAGCTGCCGTTTATTCAGGCTGATTCGGAGGAGCCGGGAGCACTTAACGGCACATGTCATCGCTTATGTCGTGACTCACACCGAGTACGAGTCCCAGAGAGCAGGCGGGCCTGTCCACAGGTGAGACTCTTGTGCGGGGCCCCTCCCTACCTGTCCTGTTCGTCCATCAGCTCCTCCTGAGCTTCCAGCTCATCCAGCCGGACCCACAGTTCCTCCTCTGACAGGATGCCTCGCTGGCGCCCTCCATCTGCAGCCTCCTCTAGCTGCAGCACAGCCTCCACCTTGGGTTTGGAGTTGGGCCGGTGTGCCACCCGCCTCTCACCTGGTGGGAGAGCATACAGAGCGCACGCACGCACACACACACACACACACACACACACACATGCACACACACACACAACACCCACTTGGCTGTTTACAGGGGAGTCCCACTCATTAGGGGCAAATAATCAACAACACGCATTCTCTCTGCTCGTTAAGTGCCTCCGCAGAATATTAATTACCGATTGACTAAATGAACCAAGAAGAACTCTTGCGAGGAGGCAACTCAGAGCAGAGATACGGATGTATCACGAACAATTTAGTATGCATATCAAACGGCTCTGCGCTGTTGTTTTTTCCTGGCTGCTGATGAATTTCCAGGTGCATTATAGCATTAATAAGAACACTCGAAACGTCCCGAGAAGTCTCTCAGTCTCCGCGCCGGCGAGATGCATGTGTGGCTCCTCTAATTAAAATCGCTCTCGTACAATAGGGCAGCGGCTCGGTGACGCCACACGGAGGCAAGGCGAGGACGCAGCGGCGAGGCCAGGATTTATGTTAAATGCTTCCCCCGTCCTGCTTACACATCAATACACCCGGTTCAAATTAATTATTGATTAATCGCTTTCAGTCAAAGCAAAATTGCACACAGGCAATATTAAACCATGAGCTTAAAAAAAGGCGGCGGGGGGTGTGTGTTGGGGGGGGTTACAGCACCAATTCAAGTTTGTCCAAATCATTCATTACTGTTGTATTGACAACTACGACTTACTAATCAGCACAGCCGAGAAAATAAATGGTCAGCTCATGCCCCCACCCATCCCCCCCCCCAGCCCAGCCCCTCCTCCTCCCACAAAGCATTAAATCTGAAATGGTGCCCGGGAGACAGCGCCTTGTGGATGTCTTCGCTGACAGGTGATGGGGCCGGTCGGGGCGGCGAGGCAAGGCATTAGCCACCAGGCCGAACGGTTTGATCAGTGCATGGATTCACGGGCCGCCCTGGGACAGGAACCCGGCACCATTCAATCGTGGACGGCCACCGCGAAAGGTCAAGGCAAAGTTTAAAGCCAGCAGGGCTGGGCCTTTAACATATTCACAGTCAGCTTTTAGTACGGAGCGGCCCTCATGGCTAATGAGCGGAAACTGATAAATATTTGCTGATAGCCTGGAAATTCCCATGTCACGGACCTTAGCCTGAATGCTAAGCGTGGCGGGCTAGTGCAGGGGAAGGGGAGGGAGGAGGCTGTGGCCAGGACCCCAGGTAGCCAGGAGGACGCCAGTTCGCTCCGACGGGGAACCCAGAGGTGGCGTGTGGCCAAAACCAGACAGAACGTGGCTGATGACGCCCACCCCCGCAGGAGGCGGGGCCACAGATGATCAATGGACATGACATTCTTACCTTTGATGGGGATTTTTTCATCGTCCAGCTCCTCTCGGATGTCCACGTAGTCGCCTTTACCCTAATGGAAGGAGATCGTCAACATCGTCGCTGGAGCGATGGCCCCACCCTCCCACCCTCGGCAAAAGCGACGCGAATGTGCCGTGATGGGGTCCGCCTACGGGCTCTCGCAGACAGATAGGCTGGTGATGGGGGGGGGGGCAGGCGGAGGAGCCCTGCAAAGAGCGCTGCTCTCAGCGACGCCCAAGGAGCACCCAGCAGGCAGGCTGTACTCTCAGCCACGCACACCGCACACACACATTATGCAGCGCAAACATATATGCCAACTTATTATCCTGTCTTTCAAAGGAGGGGGGGGGCCCAGGTGTTTGTGTAACCTCGCCGTAATTCTCCCTCAAGTAGAGCTCAAATATGGACAGGCGGGACGACGCCGAGCGCTCGGGTGCGAGCGAGGAGCACAGGGGATGGATTTCATTAGCGTGTCGGGGGCCGTGACGGGCACTCGGAAGAGGAGGGCGGAGCTTAGAGCGGCCGTGGCCTGCGGTCGCTCACCCCCAGGACATCTGCACCATCCGTGAAGCCCAACCTGTCTTCAAAACTCTTTGCCACTTTTTCCAAGTCCTCCAAAGTGTTTTTCACATCTGTAAGGGAGATAAATACAGGTTAGGGATCTGGGGGGGTAGAAGGGAGGAACCTGATTTACAGAAAGGGATGAAAAAAAAATACATAAAAATGAATCAAGGTTCACATGAAGCTGCAGAGCTACTGGGCGAAAACACCAATAGCATCTTTACGGTCAGTCGCAGCAACGTCCGATTTCCAAAGCGTGAAGCAGAACACGGTCAAGGCGAAGATGATTAAAGCGTCTATATGAGTACGCTGCCTAAAAGCACAGTGGGCCATTTGTCTCCGTCTCCCGATATTCAAGCAACATCTGGCGCTGGGAGATTTAGGTTAGACAAGTAATTAGCGCCGCGAATCCGTCCTACAGTGGCAGACAGGTGTATTTTTATTTCAGAATCAATCACGCCTCACCTTCCGGGTCGGACGCCCACGTGGCTGTGGTCACACGCTCTGTGGCGGTGAGGAAGGCGGGCACACAGAAGGACCGGGGGGGGGAAGCACGAGCCGAAACAGGTTAGACTGGACAAAGGGCTGCCCTAGCTACATTCCACCCGGCATTCCAGTGAACAGCTCAACCGAAATGTCTCTCCTGATGACGACCAATGAGCAGAGAACTTTAAAGAGGCACGCATATAATTTTAATCTTAGCAAGACACTTGAGACGATTCAGGCCTGAGACCTGCCGACCGGGACCCCCAGTACCCGGGACATTCCCGCACACAGTAGTGCCCCCAGACCCCAGGACACTCCCGGACGCACGCTGCAGCCTCACCATGTCTGCACTGAACATGTTTTCTTCGCAACTTCTTGGATTGAGTGGTAAAGTCTTTTAAAATGGAAATGCACTTCATCATGGTCATTGGGCCCGCGGCTCTAATAAATCATCGCCCAGAGCAGTCCGCACAACTTAAAGGAAAACAAACCGCATCGAACAGCTCTTCTTTGCTCAGTCTAATGGGGTCACATTCAGAGAGTGTAATTTAGCTCTTACACAGGTGATTGAATATTCCTAGAACAAAAAAAAACACTCCTGCTTGCTTTTCCGTGCTTCATGTGGTAAAATATTAAGTTACCGACTTAACTAACGAACATTTCGCAATCTGTATGTTTTTAAAGGTTACCTTGTCCCCCCCCCCCACCCCCCTCCCCACACACACCATCAGACCTCAAGCTTTTGATAAATGTCAAACCTCATCACAAATAAAGGTCTGAAACATCCTCGCGAATAGAACTTCAATTTTGGGTCACTTTCGATGCCTTTTCGACGAGAGCCCTGAGCGTGTTTTAATTTGTTACGGAAGCAGAACACGAAATATGGTATTTCCTGCATTCTGCTTAAGAGGCACACGTTTAAGTTTTCGTGCGCCATACGCCAGTCTTCGGACAAAGAAAATCTACCATATATCATAGCAAGGGTGGGGGGTACAAATCCATTGAGATTCAACTCATGGAATTAGCTACAGACAAAAAGAAATTCAAATGTCTACGCTGTACGGGCTCAATCAAAATATTCCGATCCTTGTAACAGAAACTGAATATGTATGAACATCTCAAATAGGCTGAATTTATTTTGAATATTTAATGAGATAAAATATAAGTCTATTTCAGCAACTAATAAAATCACTCTTCTATCAATGTGCTGCAAACTGAAAGTGAATTTGGGGGGTGGGGGGAGTGGGGGAGGTAAAAACAGAAACTCAGAGATTAATCAACATTCAGGGGCTGAATTCCCAGTTATACACTCAGCATCATGAGCAGTCAAAACAGCAGAGTGCCAATCCGCAACAAAATTGCCCCCCTCCCGCCCCTCTATGTCCAATCACGCCACAGTCTTCCTCAATAAAACAAATTAACTGATTAGACATTTTAATCTCAGTCATATTTGACCTTGCAGAACGTATCGCCGACGTCTACATCGCCGAGGCAATAAGGCTCAAAATTTTAAAGGGGCGATGGTGCCCTTTTCCTAAAAAGGGGGGGGGGGAGAGAAATTAAATATGCGAGCTTTGTGTAGATGCTGCTTACAAGAGGAATAGACAAGCTCCCCGCTCGCCGGGGATGATGGGGTTAAGCCCAAATGCATTAACAAAAGAAAATTACAGCGTAAACAGTTCATAAAATCTCACAGCCCCCGATGTTGCTCTAGATCATTAAATTTCTGCAACAATTAGACCTTTTCTCACGGCGGCAAATTGGACCCGTTGCCATGGCGAATCTCAGCCCTTAAGTCATATATCTGTGATTGCGGAAAGGTCAGACACAGACAGCCTAATAACTCAAGGAGCTGTTTGACAGATTTCATCCAAGCATGATCACATAACAGCACAAAACTATGTCGGCAGTTGTTAAAAGCAGGGGGGTGTGTGTGTGGGGGGGGGGCGGGTCAGGGAGGAGGTTAAGGTTACAGAATGTTTTCGCTCCACTAAACCGACTCTGATGATGTGCCTAGTCGAGTTGAAAAAGGGTCGTTTTATGTACAGATTCCCGTTTGGATCGATGAAGATTTTTATTTTATTTTTTAAGGCGGTGGGAAGGCGGTAATTTTGGGTGG